CAAAAAAAAAAAAAAAAAAGCAACAGAGATTACGATGTATTTCACATTTCTGTTACCTCCCCCTGGGATGCTGAACAAGCAAAATAGCATAAACTCTGATAGATGAATCTTCATCACAGCTTCTATGCATCCCATCAGACTAACATATAGCAATGAAATGAAGACAGACGGAGTACTAATCACAAGAGCTGTAAATAAAAGTGAACAGAAATTGATTTTGAAGTGTTCTTAGCACTTTCCCAAGAAAACATTATCATTGTATTAAGAAAAAGGTACTCCATACATTGCTTCAGGGTTCCTAAGAATTAAAAACTCTGACCTCTGGCATTTTCTCTTTTGAGAGACCTGGAGCTACTGTAGAGTCCAGTGAAGGGCCACAAAGATGTTTATGGGACTGGAGTACCTCTCCAGTGTGGAGAGGCCGAAAGAGCAGGGGACGTTCATCCTGGAGAAGAGGAGGCTCAGGGGGATCTCATCAGTGTCCATAAGTACCTGAAGGGAGGGTGCAGATTGGAGCCAGGCTCTTTTCAGTGATGCCCAGCACCAGGACAAGAGGCAGCAGGCACAAACTGGAGCTCAGGAGGCCCCCTCTGAGCAGCAGGCAGCACTTCTGTGCTGTGCCAGTGAGGAGCCCTGGCTCAGGCTGCCCAGAAAGCTGTGGGGTCTCCTCCTTGGGGAACGCCAAAAGCCACTTGGGCATGGTCCTGGACAGCCTGCTCTGGGTAGCCCTGCTTGGGCAGGGCTTGGAGCAGGTGGCCTCCAGAGCTCCCTTACAAACCCAGCCATGCTGTGAATACATTGAGAGTTGTGTTTTGAAACGTATCCATCTGGAAAATTTCCAAGGTAACTGGAGTTCTCTTAAATATCAACCTAATTTATTTTCAATGTCCTAAATTAAGTCACCTGTTTTATTGTTTGAGTGGGAAATAACTATACACGCTAAGCCAGGTTATCTTGTTTTTCTAGGTCTGCCATCATAAAGTATAACGGATTGGGATCCCATGGAGAGAAGTCAGCATTCTGCTAACTCATGAAAGCACCTAGACCAGGCTGCTCCCCCTTGCACAAAGTTAGACCTATGCAATTTTGTGTGACTTCATGTGCCCTAACTTAGGCCTTGTTACTCCTTGGGGTCTGCTGAACATAGCTGGAATAGAAAGTTCTTAGAAGTCTCATATTAAAGTTTTCAGTTTTGCAAACCCAGCCTTGCAAAAAAGTTTCACTAGTTTGACAAAAACAAAAACAAAAGGCAAAAAAACAGAAACAGCAACACCTCAAAGAAGTTTTGTTTCTGGGTAAGAGAGTATTTCTATGTGGGAGTACATATCTTGTAACTCATGCTGTATTGCCCGGCACTTGAACCTCTCAAACACATCAAGCTAAGAGATGTTGGATCTGGTCAGTATGTGTGGCCAAGATGGAAATTTTTTAAAAAGTGCAAATGCTGCGCTGTTTTTGATGACTCGGGACTTGGAAATCTTCTATCCACATTAGAATCAGCATGAATCCAACTTCCTAGCATACGGTTAAGGGGTGCCTTGTTTCTGGAGGTGCTACCTTTTCTCAAGGACATAAAAGCAACTTCATAGTTACTTGTATTTAAGACCCCAGGACATTTTCTTATCAGATTTGGTCACATAGCCTGAAATTCCAACTACTATTTTACTATTCGTGCTTGGGGCTGTGCCTGATCTTGGGGCTGCGATGAGCTCGGTCACCGTCCCCAGCTTCCTTCATCACCTGCAGGTGCTGTAGGATGAGGTCTGCTGGGTGAGGTCCCTGCCCTGCCAAGCAGGAGCATGATTTGTTAATAAAAGGCTAACATTTCTATCACAACAATTACTGAGATCAGGTAGCACAAAGGGAATAGCGAAATGTACAGATAAGAAAATTGAAGTAAAATGTGACAGATAAAAATGTTAGCTGCTTTCAGGTAAAAACATTACTTGATTTCAGGTATTGATTTTTGCTCTTGTACTTTGAAATGGTTCCAAATTCTGGATCTGACAAAAACGTTACAATTAAAATCTCAGATCTCACATTAACATCAATGATAGAATAGATGCACATAAGGAAAATTAAAATTGACAATGTATGTTGTACTGACAGACTAATTAGTCAGACAAAAATAACTAGTTTGTTTTAATATCAATAATGGAGTGCACAGCGGGATTTTTTGCTTCCTTATTGTGTTGGCTAATGCTGGAACCATGCAGAGAACTGCAAATTAACTACTGTTCTCTAAGCATACAGAAGTACTCTTGGTTCATTAGAAATCACCTTGAACATACAAAATCGGACACAATTTGCATGACAAAGAAACTGAAGATTGTGAGAGATGTATCTGCGGAAAAGAACTCTACCACCCTGCCAGTTTGAGTAGGTTCAAGCCAAGGGAAGAACGCTAGGAATAACCATGCCTGTGGGTGGCTCAGGATGGGGTCTGCATATGCTGTTTTGAAGACAGATTTTTGCCAGATAAGCCCAAACTTAGAATGTCAAACTTCCTGCTCCACAGAGAGCCTCAGCATTTGACAACAACTGTGTGGTGATTCACCTGTCTATAAATGGGCAAATCAGCATACAGAGAGGTACTGAGAAAATGTAATACTTTTCCCCAATGAAAAATCTTCAGAGACTTCATACCAGTAGCTATGTTTTTATCTATCCCGATACCCTTTCTAAAGTAAAGTTGCCTTTTCAAGCTGATAATGTGATATTCTGTAACCAGAAGTAATTCTGTAAGTAATGAGTACCTCTGCCCACACTTTCAGTAACTTGTTACAAAAACAAAAGCACAAAAAAACAAACAAACAAAAAAAAAAAAACTAAAACTAAACCAAACAAAACCTCTCTAGCCTTGTTTCCTAAGGAAGCAAGGCATAAGGCATACACGGTCATGCATAACTGCCCATCTACCTTTCATCGCTTTACACTATTCCTGTAATTTTGCACCTGTTGGCCAATTTCATCCAAATTTGGTAATAAAGACTGAGCCTTGAAGAAATTAAATTCCTATTCAACTCCTAAATTTCATGACACTGGGCTGTGTACAGCAATTTAATGCCCCCTTGGAACAAAAATCAACTCAATGCAGCCCCTTGGTTGCATGGGCCAGCTATAACTCAACTCCACCCACCAACCGAATGGGAACAGCCTGGCTAGGAGGCAGAGACCATGGTGAGAAATGCAGACACAGGACAGGCCTGGGAATAAGATGGCCACTGTGAAAAGTAGAAAACAAACAAGTAAGATGCCAGATCTTATTAGTTTCACTGTTCATAGCCTGGCTTGTTTAACAACAAATACATGCAAGTCCCAGAACGTAGGTCTGCTGCATAAAAGCAGCAAGAGCAGTCAGTGTAATCCCACTGGAATTCAAATGATGTGGGATAATTTAAATATTTGACACAGTATTTAACATAATCTCTGTGAAATGACATGCTTTATCTTCTGATAGACAACTTTCCTTGTGATGAAATGGCAATATGTGCACTAAAACATCACTTCTGTCATGCAGCGATCTTGTTTGTATTATCGACCATGCACAAGTAAAGGAGTAAAAGGCTGGCTTAGAAAAAGAGCTTCCACTGTGCGATGCCAAGAAGTACTTCATTTTCAAAATAGGTTCACACGTCACTGTCAATTATTGTCAAGGAATGAAAATTCAAAAGCTTTTGTGCGGCTGGTGAGCAGAGTCCATATACTACAGGACAGCTCAACCTGAGAAATGAAAAAATACTTATGGTAAGAAACCATAAGTGTAAGTCTCTGAGCAACCAGAGACTGCCAGGACAAGGATGTGGCTGGTGAATGACAGTGGTGTGAAGCCCCTGGGAGCACCCCTGCTGTGTGACTGTCACTCCTGCTCAGCCTTCTCGGTGTGTTGGCTGCTAGCACGGTCTCTGCAGTGCACAGTGGCATTTCACTCTTCAAGAACCCATGGCAGGGAAGGTAGATGAAGGGCATATGGGGAAAATGGGTACTTCTTTTCTAATGGGGACATGAAACCGCTCTGCCTAATTCATCCACTTCTGCCAAATGCTCAAATCCAGCTGCCTATCAACCACGCACTGATTGCAGGGCAGGGCCACAGATGGTCCTGTAAACCCCAGAGCCACTCAGTAGGAGCGTGGATACTCAGGACAAAGCCTGAGCAGGCAGGGAGAGGAGCTAGCTGCAAATGTGACCCACAGTGGCAAAGCTCTCCTGAGAGGGAACAGCAGCACTAGGCAGCACAGGGTACTGATAGCTGATTTCCATATGCAGCGTGGGAATTCAACTAGCATTGAATTTAAGAGCTGGTGTGCTCAAACCAGCCTGAACAGCCACTAGCACAACCCTGTTCATGTAAGCTACGTGGCAGTTCACACCACTAATCACACATCTGTTGCTGGAGCTCAGCCTGGGTATGTGAGCCCAATGTTTCACCTTCAGCTCGGGAGAGAGGTGGAATACAGAGTAGGAACAAAACTGGCAACCATGTGGGAATGCAAAAACCCTAAAGGCCCACTAAATTGATACATCAGTAAAAAAGCATGTGAGACAAATGACAGACTACACTTTAAGATATTTGTTAGGGGATGCCTCCAGTCCTGACACTACAACTGTGGACACACTACTGTGCTCTGTCGGAAATATCAGATGGCTCTGATTCCCTAAAGGAATATGTAAATAAGCAAGTGGATGTGAATAAGCACGCAGGAACAACTACACCACCAAGTAGTCAGCCCTATTTGGAGCAGGGTTTGGGCTAGATGACCTCCTGGGGACCCTCCCAGCCATGGAATAACTGCAGTTATTCCATCGTTGCACGTTTTATCAACACGCTACAAACACATACCCAGAATATGCGTTCTGTAAGGACAGATTTACCCAGATGAAGAACAGTTTCGAGGCTTCCAGTCCCTCCTCCCCCAATACCTCCACCCACCACACCTGTGTCACACCCTTTCCTAGTATAACATGCAGCTTGCCTCCAGCTGTGTGGCTTCCAGAAGCACAGTATGCCTAGGGGGCACAAACCAGTGCAGAGGGGGTGAAACAGAGGAAATTCACTTTTTTCTCAAGCTGAAGCCACACACCATAGGCCAACAATTCCTCTTGGACCACAAAGGAGGGTACACCTCAGGCTATGATCTGATGAGAGACACATGAGGAGTCTCAGAGGAGACCTTATTGCTTTCTCCAGCTACCTGAGAGGAAGTGGTTGGGAGCTGGGGGTTGGCCTCTTCTCACAGGTAACTAAAGATAGAACTGGAGGGAATGGCCTCAAGTTGTGCCAGGGGAGGTTCAGGTCAGAAATGAGGAGACATTTCTTCTCAGAAAGAGCAGTCAGGCCGTTGGGATGAGTTGCCCAGGGAGGTGGTGGAGTCACCATCCCTGGCGGTGTTCAAGGAAAGGTTGGACGTGGTGCTTAGGGATGTGGTTTAGTGGGTGACACTGGTTGTAGGGGGGTGGTTGGACCAGATGATCTTGGAGGGCTTTTCCAACCTTGATGATTCCATGACTCTATGATTCCTCCTTCTCTTCCAGTCATAATCAGGAGTGCATCTATGCGTGCTTTGAGTGAAAAGGATACAGAACACATCTTATCTGTAAGCATGAAACTTTCGTACATGAAAACACAAGCAGTTTAAGACTTGGCCCTTTATTTTAAAAAATAAATATGTATACAGCTATAAGAAGCATTTCTGTAATTTTTCTTCAACTCTTCTGTTGCCTTTGGCAGTTTAATACTCCTGTACAAAAAAGGTACAGCAGAAACTGTCATTCTCATTTCTTGCTGATTGCTCCATGTCTTCCGCTAACCCTACAGTGTCTAAGCACTCTTCATTTTGTCAAAAGACTCGTGAGAGCACTGAAGACATTCCTCTTCTGCATGTGATTACTGACTCCTTTCTGAATAACACTGTAGCAGTCTTACTTGACCCTCCTTAAGAATAGCATTGCTAATGCACTGATTTTCCTGTGAAGTCTTTATTTTTCTTAATGTCTTTGCTGCTGAGAGTGGCAAAGATCCATTTCCACTTGGTGAGATTCTCAAAAAGATGTACCTAAACCACAGAGACTCACTTGGTTTCTTTCAGTGCAGGGAGATAAGGACCTCCAGTAAAGGGATTCCTTCATCATCAATGGGACAACACTATCTGGGACACCCAAAAAGCCTGAAGGAAACTATCAGCCCTTTAAATGTGAATAAGACTGAAAATATGAAGCAAGCATCCTCAAAACGTGGGGAAAAAAATGTGTCAGAATGAAAAACAAAAATTCCAAAATTTCACTTACAAGATCATTTTTTTAAGCCTGGACACCCAAGGCTGGCCATAACAGTGCAGATATGTATACCCATGGAGTGGGCAAAAGTCTGTCCATATCAGTGCTTATGGAATGGGCTAATACAAGCCTAGAAGTACCACGAAGATTTTTAGAGAGGTATAAAGAGTTTTGCTTTCAGAAACTGACAACCAAGCATCTTCATTAATTTTCTGTTTATTAACTTACATTTCTATGCCAATGGTGTCATCTTTTGTTATGACTCAGCACATCACAGTTTCCAAAAATGGATGTAAAAGAGATGACTTTATAAGAAACATTTTGATTTGTATCAACTCTTATTTGGTTTATTAAGCTTAAATGTATAGCATTTGCTGATAAGCCACTGAAATATCTGTTTGAGAAATGTAGGGAACTGTTAGGGAAATGTAGGAAAAAACTAATCTGAGGAGAAAACGTTGACCAGAACATGGTGAATTCAAAGGAATCCAACAGCAACAGCATGGTGCTTGAAATATTTGCTGATATGGTTTAGTGGAGGACTTGTTAGTGTTAGGTCAGAGGTTGGACTAGCTGATCCTGGAGGTCTCTTCCAACCTAGACGATTCTGTGATTCTGCTAAGTGTCTTAACCCAAAGCCTACCAGAGGCAACGGGATTCTTTGAGCTAAACCACGTTATTTGTTCTGCTGTCGTGTACGGGGAACTGGAAGAAAGGTGTTATGTGCAAAGGAGCTATGGAGCCACAGCTCTAGGAAAATATTTTGGCGTCTAGAGGAGTGTGGTTTTGGTCTTGCTAAAAGCTGTGCCAGCCCTGGCTGGAGCCTCTGGCAAGACGCTTTTTCCAGCATCCATGGGGAGGCCCTGAATCACTGAAGCTGCACCTACCAGAGGAAGTGCCAGGGGCTGCCAGCTGACCAGCAGTCACGGATTTTTGACGATAAATTCACTCCTGCTTGCACCAGCTCACGTACCCAGGGGCAGACGTGACAACCGTGTATTCGCCTCACACAGGAGTGGCCCTGAGCGCCCGCCTCGAGCTTTTCCTTTACCGTTGGTGGCTTTGTTTGCTTGCTTGTGTTAACCAGCGATCCACCCAGCGCCTGCTCCCCTCATCCCAGGGGGCTGCCCCCGGAAGGAGCCGCGGGCAGGGGCCCCGCGGGCGCTGCCTCCCCAGCGCCCCTGAGGGCGGCCGCGTCCCGCCCGCCCCGGCGGCCCCTCGCCGCCTCCCTCGCTCCTCCCTGCCGCGCCGCCGCCTCCCCGCCCGCCGCCTCCCCGCCCGCTGTGCAGAGCCGGGGCATGGCGAGCCAGCGCTGCTTCGCCAACCGCTTCGATGACTACCAGGGGGCGGCGGCGGGGGCGGCGGGGCCGGATGCGGAGGCGGCCGTGCCGCTGGTGACCGCCACCATCGAGCGCATCCTTCGGGAGCTGCCCCCCCTGGGGGGCAGCTGCCAGGGCGGGCTGTACGGCGGGGTGGCCGGCGTGGCCTACATGCTGTACCACGTCGCGCAGTGCCCGCTCTTCGCCCCGTCGCGGGACGCCTACCTGCGGGCGGCTCGCCGCCTGGTGGACGCCTGCCTGCGAGCCCAGGAGCGGGGCGGCGGCGAGGCCGATACCCGCGCCGCCTTCTTGCTGGGAGGCGCCGGGGTCTACGCGGTGGCCGCGCTGGTCTACCGAGCCCTGGGGCTGCCCGACTTCGCCCGGCCGCTGGGCAAGTTTCGGGAGCTGAGCGAGGTGTGCGCCCCGCTCTCCTTCCTCGAGTGCGGCTCCGACGAGCTCTTCGTCGGCCGCGCCGGGTACCTGTGCGCCGCCCTGGTGCTGAAGCAGCGGCTGGGCATGGAGGTAAGGGCCCGGGGAGCGAGCACCGGGGTTAACGGCACCGGGGCTGGAGGCTGCCGGCGCGGTGGGTAGCGCGGTGTGTGCGCGGTGTTCGTCAGGTTTGGGTCCCTCGCCCCGCGTTAGGTCCGCTCCGCGCTCCCTCTGTCAGCCCCCGGTTCGCGGGTTGGTGTGCTGCTGGCTCTGCTTCCTCCCGGGAGAGCTGTAAACGAAAAAATGGTTGTGTTATCCATCAACATATCCAAACTTTTCATTCCAACACCATTTTCGATGAAAGTTTTGTAGATGCGGCAGGACCGGTCTGAGGGGATGATGGCTCCTCACAGAGGTATAAGCCACCTTTGTAGCTCAGCTTGCACTGGGGGACCGTGTCCCGGTACCTATATCCTATATATCTGGTGTTACTGTGACATACCAGCTCTATGAGATCGCACCCTGGACCCCGCTGCTTCATTTATTTCCCCCTTTTCTTTGTTTTGCACCCTTGAGAGCAATCGCTGAACAGTCCTTGCGCTTGGGAGAGCAGGTGCAACCTCCTGAAGCCTTCTAGCGGGCAAAGCAAAGAAGGGGAAAAGCTCTCCCTCTTTGCTTGCTTGCTGAAAAATTATACTTTGCAGCTGGAAAGAGTTAAATTTCCCCACAGGTGAGCACAGGTGTGCACATATGGTGGAATCCCTCTGGCAGGTGAGTTAAGGACAACCGTAGGGGCTCTATTTTGCCATGGTTGCAGTAAGACGTAGTCTGTGTCCCCTTGCGGATGTTTTAATCAGTTACTTACACATCCTTCCGTAGTATTATTTATTCTGTCACCACCCTGTAATTTTAAATGTTCAGTGAAAGAAATAAATCAAAATGTTTTAAACTGTTAAGTATTAATAAAAGTTTCATTTTTTACTTTTAAATAAAATATTGTGCTCCTTAAGTGAGCAAGATGATAATGATCAGTAGCCTGTGTACCCGTGCTTTAGCAAAATTTGGGTGCGCTGATAAAAATTCCCTTCCTAATACAGGGTTATTTTAATTAGTGCATTGCCAAACCGGATCCTGCATCTTTTAACAAATGAGGAGAGGGATGCCCAGAGAGAGTGCATGCTTTTTTTTTTTTTTTTTTTTACCCAAGGTCAAACAGAAGGCCAGGTACATCCCAGAATAGAAGCGACGCCTTGTGATTCTAACTGCTGGAAAATGCTACCTCCTGTAATTTGATTGTGCACAGTCTCACATGGCTCATTGCAGCATGTTTTCTTGTGGCCCACGTTCTTCTTCTGATGCTGCTGCGCAAATATTTCTAACACAAAGTGAAATCCATTCACATTGAAATTTGGCCATTGCTGCCCATATGGGTATTTATTCCTCTGAATAAGTCAAATTGTAACCTACATATGAGAAATCGATTGCCCTTGAAGAAAGGCTTTTTGAGCAAATTTTACAATTACTGTTGTGGGTTTGGTTTTTATCTTTTCCGGGCAGGGCAGGAAGGGGACTGCTTTATTTCAGTCAATACTAATTTAGCTCAGCTGCTGTGCTGTGATGTTTTGGTCCTTGCTAAACTGTTTCAGGGTTTTAAGGCTTCACATATTCTTAAGAAAGTTGACCGACTGTCCTGAAAGGAGCTGTCAGTTGAATAACGTTGCCCTCCTGTGAAGAAGGCATTTGCATTCTGCTGGTTTTCAGACTTCTAGGCTAATACAGCATTTTTCCCCAATGAATTAATTGTGAGATTTTGCATGAGTAAGGATTACTCAGGCAAGAATTAAGAGGAGCTGACCTTCTTGATGCAGAAGACACCGTGCGTTAGGAAGGATGGTTGTTTTCATCCTTTCTTTAATCTCTATTATGTTGTAATCAGTACTTTGCAGAGAGAGAGAGGTGAAATGTTGTTCCTGCAGAAACAACACATCATTTGTACAAGGTAGGCATAGATAAGGTGCATGTACTTGAGCAGTCCTTAGCCCCTGTGTTTTCACTGTTAAGGGGAAATTTTGTTTCTGCTCTGTCTTCACCAGGTGCCTCTTTTTCTGATGTTTCTAGTGTTGCTTCATTATGTATTCTTTGGGAAATCCGTCAGTTCTTCTTTCAGTTCAGCTCACTCAGTCTCTGTTTGCTCATGCAAACAGCAGTAAGAGACCATTAAAATGGTGGTCTTGCCCCCCTGTTCAGACAGTATTTTATCCTCTCCTCATGGTTTCTCAGTGATGTTTCTGTCCCATTTCATGGCCGATGGAGCATGGTGTGCCTCAGCAGTTGCAGTGCCTCCGGCAATGTCACTGTCAGATGACGGAGGAGAAGGTACAGAAGTTCAAGCGGCTTCTTGCATCACCATCTGCTAGGATGTTACGGCCTTTTAGCGCAGCTCAGGGTTTCTTTCAGTAACTGGCTGGACCGATGGGCCTGACTGACGTTCACTAACTGTGTTGCAGCAAGAAAGGCAGTGACCAACAGCACTACATACCACTGAGGAGGCAAAACTGCATCACCGCCTGATGGTGTGGTTTCAGTCGAGAAGCAGGAGCAGCAGTTTTGAAAGACATCGTGAGCATCATAAGAGTTTACCCACCACGTGTGGGTAACCTTTCTATCTCTGTAGCAGAGAGGTGCCTCGGGTTCTTTTTCAGACAAATGAGATGCTATGACATGCAGTGCCTGGGAACTGACAGGTCCAGCCAGTGTATTTCTGGGGGAGAATGAAAATTATTTTTCATTCATATCCTCATATTTTTCATTCATATCCTCAGATGTCTCTGGATGCCGTTACTTGTTCCTCGGTGTCTTCCTTCTACCTAGCGTTTCAACGCTATTGTATGTTACTTCTCTATTAGAAAAAGAGAAATTATGAGAGGAAGGAGCTTCCTAAATCCTGCCTAGAACGTGTTCCTTTAGGACTTTTAAAAGCGCAATGTAAGATTATTCATGCTGAACATGTTGTTTATGAAAGACACTCGATGGATTGGTCTTACAAAGGGGGGATCTGCAAAATACCCACTGAAGAGGTGCACCCCCGAGTTCAAGGTACCTATGTTGGGCTTTTTATCCAACCCATGCCTGAAATGGAAGGGTTGTCCTTTGAGGTGAGATTTTATTCCCTTTCTATACCCATTAAAGTCATCTATGGAAGAATTTGCCTGTTTATCTGAAATGTGGTGTTTGTAATGTTAAACACTGTGATGCTAGCTGGAGCTCTACTGATTTCATTATTTCATTTTACACAGGCCACTACACAGCCAGGATGTCAGATTTTGCCATAGAGGATTTAAATGAGATACCAGTAAAGATTTTTTTAAAAAAAGCTTTTGATCCTAGCCAGCTTCTTGAAAATGTACATTTTTCTGTCCATGCTTTCCCAAGCCTCACTGGACAGATTTTGCATTAATTTGCTTAAATTGATGAATTTCAACCGGCAGTTGAAAATGGGAGTTTTCTAAAATAAAAAGTGAAACAAAAGGAATTATTTAAACCTGGATTTGTTTAGAAAGCATTCTGAAATGGTTTGGGTCTACATTTCAGAACCACTCCATTTCTCTTCAGCAAGGCAACACAAATCTTTATTTTTAAGCAGCCTTCAAATCCAGAGATCGGGGCACCTCAATAATGGCCACCAGAAATCAGCTCAACATGGTGGGAGACGAATATCCAATTGTAGAGGTAAAGCAGAGGTTTTAAAATGTTGAATTTCAAGCACATTGTTTAACTGCCAGTAAATAGTGCTGTAGTAAAGAGGTTTTGGTGGGGATCCTGCCAGGACAGGAGATTTGATTGATGCAGGTTTGACAGTGCACAGACATTTTATGTTCTGTTGCAGAAATACGGATTTCAAAAGCTTATGGCTAAAGAGTGGTAGTAATCTGCCATTGTCTGCTAAAAATAATTTTATACAAAGGCAGTGTCAGATATCTCTGCACTTTTTTGTGCTGTTGGAAAATTGCTTCCCAGTGTAGCATCATCTTTTTTTTGCTGAAATAGCAACCCAAGCTGTAATACTGACATTACAATATTTGTGTTTAATAAAAAAAAAAAACACATATCCAGAGGAGTTTCTTATATCCAAAATAGATCCTTACTTTGCCATCTTCCTTCAAACTCCTTTAAATTTCAAAGTTAGCAAAGTTTAAATTTCAAAGTTAACTTCTAAGCCTTGACGGTTCAGTCATCATGCTCATCATCGCCATGGAGTGCTTTCAGGTCACCCCTTGGAGTCTGTCAGCACCTCTCCTTGGCCTGCGGGAAGCGGAGGTATTGAGTGCACGGTGTCTTTGCCCTCTGCAGAGCTGCCTCTGATGTGCTCCTAGCGTGAGTAATGGGGTCTGAAGAGTAAAATAAAGCAATCAGAATGAGGGCGTTTTTCTAGAAAAGGTGCTGTGTCCATTCTGCTGAGTGCATGCAGTGGCTGAATCTCCCGAAGCACCCAGAGCCGCCTAGGGATTTCGATCAGCAAACCAGGGCCAGCAGAGGCACAGGGCTTGGGGTGGAAGCTGGTGATCTTCAAAGTGTGTGTTATGGACAGTTTGCTAGCAGTCTGCAAGAAGTTTCTCATTCTCGTTGCGTGATATTTTTCAAAATTTTTTATGTTGTATTTTATGTCTATGTCATATATGCTATTATAATTGTGTTTCCACAGAGAGCTATACTTGACATTTATGTTTTTCTCCATGACAGAGGCTAATAGTGATTTTTTGGCTTTCTTCTGACAAAAGACCAGGTGACACAGTTAATTGCAAGGGTGAGGTGTCAGGCAGCACTGAATGACACAGCAGAAGGAGTGTGTGTGGGTAACGTGTGAGGGGGGGGAGTATGGAAAGGCAGAGAAACAGTAGAGGCATGGGAAAAAAATGACATTTCACAGAAACTGAATGGAGAGGAGAAAAAAGAGTCAATTAAAAATATTAAAAAGCAAAGGAGATAAAATACTAGCAGAATGTAAAAACCGAAGTCTGAAGAGGAGTAGAACTCAAAGATGAATGGGATAAGAAAAAGCAAGAAATAGCTTGGGCCCTGGAGCAGGGGAGATT